ATATATATATATAGGGAGAGAGAGAGAGAGAGAGAGAGAGAGAGAGAGAGAGAGAGAGAGAGAGAGAGAGAGAGAGAGAGAGAGAGCAACCCCTGGTGGATTGCAATAGTAGGTTTGAACTGTAAGGTCTGCCATTCATGGTCACCAACTGTTCCTTGGAAACTCTATGCAGGATCGCTATGGGTTAGAACCTCTTCGATGACACTTAGCAACAACAACTATATATATACATATATACATATATGGAATCCTAGTGTGACACTGTGGGTTAATGTGCTGGGCTGCATTGTAGGTTTGAACCACAAGGTCAGCGTTTCAAACTCACCAGCTGCTCCTTGGAAACCCTATACAGGTCACTATGGGTCGGAACCGACTTGATGGCACTTAACAACAACAACATATTATATGTAGGTAATATATATATGTGTGTGTGTGTGTGTGTATGTGTGTGTGTGTGTAGTGGTGGCGGCTGTGTGCTGTGGTGTTGGTTCCGACTCATAACAACCTTGTACAGGGTTTCTGAGGCTGTAAATCTTGATAGTAGCAGAATGCCTCATCTTTCTCTTGCAGAACAGCTGGTAATTTCGAACTGCTGACCTTAAGATTTGCAACCTGATTTGTAACCACTATGCTAGTATATATGTAGGGAGTGCGGTGGCTCCATATGATAAACACTGGACTATGAACCACAAGGTTCTCAGTTCGAGGCTGCCAGCCACTCTAAGGGTGAAAGATGAGGCTTTCAGCTACTGTGAAGATTTAAAACCTTGGAAATCCTATACAGGGTCTCTGTGAGTCAGCACTGACTGAATGGCACTTAATAACAATACACACACACACACACACACACACACACACATATATATATATATATACAGTTGTCATTATTAAGTGCAGTCGAGTAGGTTCCTATTGCTACAAAACCATTGAAACTGTATGAAAATATAAAGCTATTGTTTCTGAACACATCCTCCATCTGCTACTATATACATCTGATGCCCATGTTTTCATCTTTCTAACACTTCCCTGGAGAATTCTGAGCTATTCAATTTACATCACATCAAAACATCCATTTTGGAATCCTCTAGAGACTCATATTATGTTCCTTTTCAATGTTCTTTGAGTTTAGGGAACAAAAATGTCTGAAGGGACAAGATCAGGACGTAGAGTGGAGAGGGTAAGCGTTCCCAATGAAATTCTATAGGACAGCCCTTGCTACCCTTAAGGAATGAGCAGGTGATTTGTCATGATGGGAAAAAGTCCTTGACATTTACTGGCCTGTATCTCATCAATGGACTTTTCAATTTTTGAAAACCTTCCTTATAATAAGCCCCTCTGATTGTTTTGTGTCCTTCAAGACAAATTCATAAAGATTACCTCTTTGGAATCCCCCAAATCAGTTGCTATAACCTTCTGAGCAGGCCTCTCTGCCTTGGGTTTAACTAGCCTAGCAAGTCCCTTGAGAAAGCACTGTTTTTATTGGCATCTTTTTTGAGAAGGCACCTTAACAAGACTAAGGCAAGTGCATTACTGAGAGAACTTTTCTGCAGCCATCCACTGATTGCAGAGACATATGTAAGCCTGTTTTGTTTGGAATAAATCCCTGCATATATGAACTAGAGCCCTAGTAACAATATATATATATTTTACCTCATACACACACATAAGAAGAGGTTTCAAAAAGTTTATAGAAGAATTCCATTATTTCTTAATTCCATTTGTCCATAATCTTTTAAAGCACCCTATACACATTATTTGGTGAATCTATGTAAGATTTTGGAGTCCTAGTATGGCACTATGGGATAAAGCACTGGACTGGAACATCAGTTTGAACCACAAGGTCAGCCATTCAAACCCACCAGCGACTCCTGGAAACCCTACACAGGGTTGTTATGTGTCAGAATCGACTAGACAGCATTTACAAACAGAAAACATGTATCACTTAGCATGTACCAGACACTGTACTGGAGTCCTGGTGTGGCACTGTGGGTTAATGTACTAGACTGTTTGGTTTGAACCAAAAGGTTGGAGGTTTAACCTCACATGTTGCTCCAGGAAATGCTATACAGAGTTGCTATGAGTTGGGACCAACCTGACAGCACTTAACAACAACAAGAAGAAAACACTGTTCCATATATATGTTGTTGTTGTTGTAAAGTGCTGTCGAGTCGGTTCTGACTCATAGCAACCCTGCATAGGAGGAGCAGCTGGTGAGCTTGAACCGCTCTCTCTCTCTCTCTCTCTCTCTCTCTCTCTCTCTCTCTCTCGTTTATTTTGCATTTTACATACATTAGCTCTTTTTTAAATGTGTTAATTTTGCATTTACCTCCATCTTTTGCAAAAGTTCGCAAAGATCAACAAGTTTCCGAATAAGTGGTTCTTAGGAAGCAGTGTAGACTTCCATCAAACAAGTAAAAAACGAAACCACAGAATCTTGGCTCAACTCTGATAAGTGCTTCAGGCTATTTACTTATTCTCACAGTACCCCTTAAAGATATTCTGGATGAGAATAGGAATCTAATGAAAGAATGCACACAAATAACCTCATAAAATGACTGGTTTTCCTCATAAATCACACATAAGGATAAATAAGGCATGCTCACAGGTTTATTTACTATGTAAACAGTCTCTGATTTTGTGTGGGCTCATTAAGAAAGAAACCTCCTAGATTTAGCAAAAGACGTTTTGGAGGCAGTGCCAATTTTTCTTAGAAAATAAATTTAGGCCTTTATTTTGGGTTTAATGTGTAAACACTGGAACTCAGAAAATAATGCAAGATTGGGAAATACATTTATGAAAAATGCAATTATCTACTGAACTGTGTTTCAGTTAGGAAGGAGTAGGAATAAAGAGGTTTTCCACAAAGATTTTAACCTAGGAAACCCTCTGGGGCAGAAATGACTCAACCACACACAGCAACAATAATGCTTTTGAGCAGAAGAAAGGCCTGACAAATTGCTTTTGTTAAGATGAACAAAAAAATTCAAACTCCCTGCCATCAAGTGACCCTGTATAGGGGTTCTGAGACTGTAAATCTTTTCAATAGCAGAAAGCCTCATCTTTCTCTTGGTGGGTTTGAACTGCCTACCCTAAGGTTAGTTCTTATCCCACAGTGCCATGAGATTACAGTCAAGAAAACCCTATGGTGCGGTACTAATCTGTACCACATGGAGTCACCGTGGAATCAACTCAGTAGTGATGGATTAACCTTTTTGAGAGCTCTAGAAATAACAAATAATTTTACATATAATTAATATAAAATGACATGAAGATTTTCTCACCAAGTTGCCTAATTTTAAACCAAATAAAATACATCAGTTTGGTAAACACGTATGAATTGTTTTGTATCAGTAAACATCTGGACTGTAAATGACAAGGCCAGTGGTTTGAGCCCACCAGCTATTCTGTGGGAAAAAAGGTGAGGTTTTCTACTCCCACATAGATTTGTAGCCTTGGAAACCCTATACAAGGTCTCTATGCATCTGAACTGATTTGACTGCACTTAACAGCAACAACAATCAATAAACACTGTGTTAGGTACTATAGTTTTGTTTTCTTAAACAGGAAAATTTTCTTGAATACTATTTCCTCTTTATAAATTTAAAAACAACAATTCTGCATTCTCTTCACAATCAGCCTGAGAGTCATAACACCATTTAAAACAATAATTTATATAACTTTCTGTGTTTCCAAGTTGATTAAAATGTGACTGTATTTTTTTCTGCGTAAACTGGATAAATCATTTGTGACTTGAAGTTGAATTCAAAATGTATTTTTCTGTGTGTCCATTAATTTTGTAATATTATTTTAAGGTGTCCATATCTTTCACTGGAATTTGAATTGCTCTATTGGAGTTATCAAGTCTTTAAAAAAAATAATCAAAGAGAAGGCATATCAGGTCCTTGGGCCTAAAAAATATTTAAGAGGGAGTTTGCATGGGAACCAGTGAAATAGAAATTCAAAGTAGAGAAAAGAACTGGTAAAAAGATGGCATACATATATATGATATAGACTCCTAGTGTGATACACTGGACTGCAAACCTCAAGGTCAGAAGTTCAAACCCACCAGCTGCTTGGTCCTTGGAAACTCTATACAGGGTCGCTATGAGTTGGAACCAACTTAACAGCACTTTACAATAATCTATCTATCTATTTATCTATCTATCTATCTATCTATCTATCTATCTATCTATCTATCTATCTATCTATCTACGTATATATATATATATATATATAGTTGTTGTTGTTGTTGTTGTTGTTGTTAAGTGCCGTCGAGTCGGTTCCGACCCATAGCGACCCTGTACAGGGTTTCCGAGGGTGTAAATCTTTACGGGAGTAGAAACCCTCATCTTTCTCCCGCGGAGCGGCTGGTAGTTTCGAACCACTGACCTTAAGGTTTGCAGCCCGACTCGTAACCACTACGCTACCAGAGCTCCATATATATATATATCTTATTCTGAATTGGTTCTCTGAGAGTATAATAGTGCTCTGTATACTAAATTGTATACAAAAATGACTCAGCTGTATATTTTTAAAGGGTGATTTTTATGGTCATATGAGTTATATGTCAATATTTTTAAAATGCTCTGTAAACTACCACACAAATGTCATCATACAAATGTCAGGTGTGATTGGCACTCTGTCTTTATCCTCTTTGTCCACCATATCCTGGTGGACCAGACCTTTTGTATCTACCCACACTGATGAATACCCAGTCACAGATTACCATGCCTTCTTTCACTCGGTTCATTCTAACAAAAATTTTCATGGAAACGAGCCGTCTTTTCGGAAGAAAGCCAGATAACTGAATTAACAGACTTAAATGGATTGAAAAGTTCAATAGGGACTGTATCGGTATAAAGATTTGTGGCTATTAGGTCACATGATAGTATTTTTTTCCTTTAGTGCTCTACCTAAAGAGTTGAATTGGGTTTCTGCCAGTAGAAGTTGGGACACATACCTTTTAGTCAAGGGATCGTCCTCCAGCCTTGATTGCTCTTTCCTTGATCAGAGGTAGGCGGTACACTCAGCAGTTAAAATGGAGTTTCTCAGGATACTGTCACATATGCTTGCCTGCTTGAAGTCTCCCCAAAAGTGTAATAATCCAGCTGCAGCCTACCTTGCAATGAGAACAATGAGTTCAGACAATTATGTACACTGTCAAAGAATATGGATCTGATACCATAAAAGAGCTAAGCCTAACTTTAAGAACATAAAATGATAGGCAAAATTGAAATGAAATAACAACTTTTAGTAGTATAAGCATAATATTTTCATTTTTACCATGTTTAGCTAGGAGTGGTTAAGAAGTCCCTAAAAATAGAACGTAACTGGGTCTGTTTTATGTTTCGTTTCTGTAAACTCACCTCTCTCAGAAGCTGTAAAACATTTCAAACTTCAAGATGTTTGAGCGTAAGCATTTCTTTAATAACTTTAAAAACTAAAAAGCCACATCAGGTGCCACTGCTTACAATTCTAGAGACCCCATATGTGCAGAGAACAAAGCTTTTCTTCCAATGAGCCTCTGGGGGAATTTGAACCAACAAGATTTCAGTTAGTAGCCCAGCACTTAGCTGTTTGCACCACTCTATAGGAGTCCTGGTGTGGTACTGTGGTGGATTAATGCTCTGGACTGCAAAGTAGGTTTGAGCCTCAAAGTTAGCAGTTCACGCTCACCAGCCACTCCTCGGAAACCCTATGCAGGGTTGCTATTGGTTGGAACCAACTTGACAGCACTTAACAACAACAACAACAACAGGACTATTAGAGCCCTGGTACTGTAGTAGATTACGTGTTGGGCTGCTAACCGAGTTCACTAGCCACTCCAAGGGAGTCCTATGTGGAGCTGCAGGATAAGCACTGCTAACTGCAAGGTCAGTGGTTCAAACCTACCAGTCACTCCTCGGACACTATACACAGGGTAATTATGAGTTGGAACCAACTCCATGGCATTTAACAACAACATTGGAATACCATTTTAGAATTGTTTTCTAGCTTTGTCCCCCAAACACTGTCAGCAATTTTTAAATTTTATATTTTTCATTATGATATCATGAATAACTCATAATATTTATTCTTTCTGCCCACCAAAAGATGATCTGTTCTGTTTTATCCTTAATTGTTCTAAAATATAATGCTATTAAATTGTAAGCTACCCTAAGTATGTTTTATATTTCCCTTTAATTTGTGCTGTGATTTTTATCTGAAAGAAGGATTGAAAAGTGTACTGTTAACCTCCAAATGACCAATAATAAATCAACAAAATAACTATTTGGGGAGAGCATAGTGATCCTCAAGCCTCTTTTCCTTTAAAATAATAGACTGTTTAAACTTAACTGTCAACAGCATACATGATGAATTGTAGATAATTTCTCCTTTGAGGTATATTTAGCCTCGAAATCATAGATGAGTAAATGCTCACTCATGAGTGAGGTTACTGCTAAAGGAAATGTACGAACCATATCTTTATGTGGTACTTCAACATTTTTTTTTTTTTTTTTTTTCCTTTGATAGGCTGTTGTTGTTCAGCCCTCTGGGAGGGAACAAAATGAAGTGAGCACCAGGCAAAATTCCCAAATACTGTCATCAGACACTGGAATTTATGATAATGAACCCCAGTTCAAGATACAGGAAAGGCCTGAGGTTTATTCTAAGCCGTGCTTGGAGGAAAGCAAGGAGAACATTGTTTATGCTTCCCTGAACCACTCTGTCACTGGAATGAACCCAAGACCAGTAAGAGATGTGAAAGAAGCTCCTACAGAATATGCAGCCATATTCAGGAGGAGTTGAAGCTTCTCTTGGTCTCCCATCAGAGGTCATTGGATACCTCCATGTCAGCACCACTATCTGGGCCCAACACAATACTAAATAAGATTAGTCCACCATAGAATTTTCATATTACAAAGATTTGTGTTGGGACTTGGATATAAAGGGACTGTATCACTAACATTTTTTCCTGAGAACTTCTTTAGGAGCCTTTTAAAATTATTGTTGTGGTGGTTGAGTGTTGTCAAGTTGGTTCCAACTTACAGTGACCTTGTATAGCATTTTTAAGGAACAGCTGGTGGGTTTAAACCACTGGCCCTATGGTTCACAGCCCACTACTTATCCTACAGCACCACATGAGAGTCCTGAGAACTTCTTTGGTAGCTTATTATTATTATTATAGCCTTAATTAAAAAAAAAAAATCTATTCTCCAAAAGTGAATGAACAAGAACAAGCAAGTTGCTTGCCCAGGAGACATCAAGGCAAGTGGTGGTGTCCCCTCAGAACAAACCCCCTGCCAAGACTAAGATTCAATGGGAATACACGCTCTGACTGGTGACCACATTCATCACCAATAAGCATAAGTGAGGGAAAAACAGCAATGAAGCTGCGAGCTAAACCCTACAACATTCAATAGACTCCTGTGAATCCTGGCGGAGACCTGGTTGACCAGCAGTGTGGCAAGACCTGGGGACTCATGGGCCCAGAGTCAATGACATAGTCATAGAGGACTAGAGTGGAGAGTGAAGCATCCAGCTGATAAGAAGAGAGGGCATATGCACAAGAACACCCACATTTGCAGATAATACCCACTTGACCTGGCTTCAATGACTGGATGATCAGAGCTCAACCTGAAGAAGAAAGAAGAGGAAAAAAAGAGTAATCTGAAACAATTTGATGAACTTGACCTACACCTATGGATGCAGTAGCTCAAAAGAGGGAACACATTTTCACAGCGAGAATCATTCCCACCCACTCCATACACAGAGTAAATAGGGATGGGCAACTTGGACATTGGCTACCCAAAAAGGAGGGGGGCTACAAAGGCAAGAAGTGACTGGCTTACAAACTTTCAAGAGGGAACCTATATCCAGAGGGTGTGGAGGAAGGTAGAATCTCCAGTGAGTACTATCCAATCTGTCTAGGTGGGGCTGATGAAAGGAAACGTGGATAGGTCTCTTATGATACAATAGTGAATAATTGTTTTCAGGACTGACTGTGAGGATTGGAAATGTGAAGGTCGACGTAACAAAGAGGGAAGTGATTGACTTTACAGTCTAGGAGCAGTGGTCCCTGGGACCATCAAGGGAGAAGAGCGGAGAGTGGGACCCTACCCAGAGAAGCAGTGACGCCAGAGATGGAGGCAGAGACGATGATGTGGAGAGATGGAGCAGCTGGGGACTTTAGACCCAGAGAGGGAGAGGGGCTGTGTGCTGACAACTGGTGGGGGGCAGGCTTGCAGGGTATACCCTTTGGTTGGTTTATGATGCATGGAGGGGATTGTAACCATGGCAATGAAAGATGTATGATAGGATGAATGTAAAACTAATGTTCCCCCATACAAACCATCACATAATTCACAATAAAACATTTAAAATTTTTTGATTGTGCAGTAGAATAATGAAACCTTTAAATTTAGCTACATTTTACCCAATGTAAAAACTAAAAAAATGTTTCCTTGGAGTTTTCAGACATTGGTATAGAAGAGAGTTTATGTTACCTGGATCAACTCACAACAAACTCTTGAAAAGGAATGTTCCAACCCAACCAACAATAATGACTGTATATTTATTTCCAGTTGATTTTCCATAATAGGACATTTTTGTATGTAAATGTAAGCCTGGGGTTTCTTAAAAATAAAGGGGATAGGGGTATAAGAGAAATTGTTTTAGATTTCATAATATAACCAAAAAAGTTGTGGTGCAATAAAGATATTAAATTGGATATGGGATAGATGTTCTCCTGAAAATAAACCTGAAAAGCAAATGTTTATGCATATGCTGTTAGATTACTAAATGCATTTAACTATTAATGGGGCAAATAAAGTTTGGCACATTTTATGGACAAAGTGGTAGCTTAGTCTTTGGATAATTTGTTGTTAAGTGCTGTCGAGTCATTTCTGACTCATATCGACCCTGTATAGGTTTTCTGAGGCTTTTAAAACTTTTTTTGGAGCAGTAAATTTCATCTGTCTCTTGCAGAGCACCTAGTGGGCTTGAACCACCAAGCTTGTGGTTTGAAGTCCGGTACATATCCTACAGAGCGTAATGTTTAAAATGTGACATTATGCTGCAGAATTGATGTACTGAAACAACATGCTGAAATCTGCAAAATCAATGAAAATAGATATGCTCATGCAAATGCAGATTGATGGCTTAAACTGCTTCTTGCAGACATTTAAAAGCATAATCAGTAGAATGGAGAAAAATCTAAAATATTTCATTGGTCAGTATGGATCAACACATTTTTTTTCACCACATTTGTATTTTGCTGTTCTTCTTACTAAAGAATCGGTGCAAATGATACACATGAAATTATAGCCACGTAAGAATACGGCAAGAAGAATGTCTTCAGGTATTTTGTATTTCCACTGAGTACTTGAGTCTAATTATTTTTAAACTAGCCTACAACTTAATTCAAAAACTTGAGGCTACTAGAGTTCTCAGGTGCTGCTGCTACTAAATAATGCAATAGTCCTCATGCAAAGTGAATAGCAAAGGTTAGGACCCAAATATATGAACTGCTATAAAAATGATGTATGTGTGTATATGTGTAGGAGAAGCAGGTGACTTATAAGTCACCTATAGGAATGGTAAAAGAGAAACTGACCAGAGTGACAGTCCATTGTCAGTTTTCTAAACAAGCTCAAAATATTTATAGTTTTGTTGTTAAGTGCCGTCGAGTCATTTCCAACCCATAGCAACCCTGTCTAGGGTTTCCGAGGAGCAGCTGGTGAACTTGAACCATTGACCTTGCAGTTCAAATGGCTTTGCAGTCTGATGCATTAACCCACAGTGCCACACCAGGACTCCAAATACTATATATAGTATGTAGGTCATGAAAGAAAACAGTGTTTGATATTATGAGGATGAGTGTGTGAGTGGAACGCATACAAAAATAAGCAAAATTGAGGTTTGAGTGATGGTAGTGAGTTTTTTCTTGAGTAAACACTGGCATTAATTTTCTACCCCTTAGGTCTGGTGTTGTAGGTATTGTTTGTGAGTTACTGTTCTGGCCAGTATGGTCTTCTGGCCAGTATGGTCTTAGTACACAAAGAATTTTAAGAAACCATTTTAGATAGGCTCTTCTACTCAAGTTTCATTTATGGAACTTATGCAAAAAATAAAGTAGAAGAGCTGCCTGGGGTACTAAAAATAGAAACGTGAAATATGAGGAAGATATGGTCTCCTCTTGTCAGATAAACACACACAGCCTAGCAGTCCCTTCAGAATTTTCTTCAAAAAAAACAAAAAAGCCAACCATTTCTGTTATTGCTATTTGGATTATTCCCATCAAGTTTTATAGTTAAGATAATATTGATACTGATTTCACCTCTGTAAATGCTTAAGTTTATAATTGTATTCCACATATCAAAATCACAAATCATTTATGTTTTTATTACTTCTTAATAAAAGATGTCACAGATACATATCTATTTCTCATAATAAATTGATTTCACTATTATTTGCATGGCATATGTTATTAATTTATAGGCCACTTGGGGAAAAATATGTAGCTAAATGAAATTATTTTCCATGAATTTTAAGTTTGGTGATTGTATCTAGGAGGCACAGTGGTTACAGAACTCATCTGCTAACCAAAAAATGGGCCAGTGTGAACTCACAGGAGAGCAATGCAGCAGTCTGTCTGTCTAAAGATTTAGTGTTTTGGAAGTCTTACAGGTGGGCTTGCTCTATCCTTTAGGGTAAGAGCCAACTAGACAGCAGTGAATTTGAGTGTTTTGTTTTGTTTCTATCTGATTTTGATTGTTCCCAATAAGAAGGTAAAGTTATTAAAATTTACTTAGAATTAATTTGACTTTACTTTTTTTCTTTAAGTTTTTATTGTGGATTGAATGAAAGTTTACAGGGCACATCATCAGTTTTACATTCAACAAATCATACACCTTGTTTCATAACAATGATTACATTCCCCTCTATGTACCATCAGTAACAGTATTTCTCTCTATTCACTTTAGCTCTTAAAAAAAAAACCCAAAACACTCAAGCATATATAATAATTTATACCACCAAAGGACACATTCTGCAAGTCTACTTCATGGCCACCATCTCTTAGTCCCTCTCTTCCCATGAATCTAGAGTTCTCAGTGCTCCCTCTCTCCAGGTCCCAATCTCTGACTCCATCTCTGGTGTCCCTGCTTCTCTGGGTAAGGGCTCCATTCCACTTGTGCTCTTCTCCCTTGGTGGTCCTAGGATCCTTTGTTTCTGGTGTGTAAGATTAACTGCTCCCCATTTTTGTTACAAGCCTTCTACCTTTACAATTGTGACAGTCACAATTAGTCATGATAACAATTACTATTGAATCATATGAATCTTATCCCCGTCTCTTTTTACCAGACCTATCTGGACAAGATGACAACTATTTAGTGGGGACTCGTTCTCCCACACACACACACTCTTAAATTAAACTCCCTCTTGAAACTTTGTAAGCCAGTCACTTCGTGCCTTTTTAGCCCCCTCATTTTAGGTATCCAGTGTCTAAGTAGCCCGTCCCGATCTATACTGTGTACAGAGGGAATAGCATTGATACTTGATGTGAAGACTCCTTCCCTCTGTTTATTTAAAGTTACTACCACCATGAGTATAGGTCAAGTTCATCAAATTGTAGCAATTTTCCCTTGTTTCCTTTATCAAAATTTAAAAAAAAAATTTTTATCCTCCTTTAGTGGAGTTCTGATGATCAAGCCATTGAGTCTAGGTCAAATGGGTACTATCTGCAAATTTGGGTGTTCTTGTGCCTCTCCCCTCACTTCATGTCAGCTGGATTCTTCACTCTTAGCTCT